CTCTGCCTCCCCCCCCCCCCCCGCCACTCCCGGTGTGCACCTCTGTATGAAGATTTCGCTTTGCCGTTTGCTGTATGATAAGTAGCTTTCACGAATAAACATTGCCTGCGATGCGAGCAGAGTTCACTGTATGTGAGAGACACACACACACACACAGGGTGGAGGTGAATGTTGCACGCTGTCTCCAGGAGGCGGCGCCCCGCATCTCCAACTTGGGAGACGTTAGGAGACAAGTCAAGTTCGGTTTGACTGGTTCCGTGCTGGTAGTCTAGGGTGCCATTGCTTACCTGGTTCTGAACGTTTCATGGATCAGTGGACGTGTATTAAAAAGAAAAACACACAAAGAAACCCCAAAATGACAACACAGTAAACGTAGATTCGAGTGGCACGTCCAATCTCTGCAGCTTTTTTAGACGGTGAGGGTGGCATTTACAGACGCTCTGTGCGTTTACATGTTCGCTATGCAATGGGCAGACTGGCCGCAGCATCCAAACACATCCCTGAGCTCGCAAAGACCCAGCCTTTGCCGAGTTCAAACGACATGACACGACCCGCAGCGGGAGCCCATGGGGAGGGGGACACACACATGTAGGAACGAGGTTTGTGTTGTTTTAAAATGGTTAACGGGGATGCCTGAAGAAAGGATTTTCTAACGGTGGCTGTTGAGCTGTATATCCAAAGCAGACGTGGAACACGTTAGCGTATAACTTTCCAGGAAATTTTTCATGCTGATGAAATTTTTATTATATACAAATGAACCCTATGTAAATGATGTAACTTTTACGAATGACAGACATTAAATATTTCACTGACATGTGTTCTCAGAATTTTGAATGTTTTCTTAAATGCTTTCACTTCCTGAATACCCCCCCCCCAAAAAAAAGGAAAATAAAATGTAAAGAGAGAAAAACTCACTGGTTAAAAAAAGAGCAACACCCATGACACGTAGATAATTCTGAGCGATCGCCAAGCATGCTGGATATTCAAGCCTCGTTGAACCCCCACTCCTGGTTTAGTAACTTAAATAGATTTTTGGATCCGTTTCCAGCCAGCGTGTGGGAATCTCTTGCCTCCCGTTGCCCACCTTCTCCGTCACCTGGGGCAGTTTTGGTCAGAAATATTGTGGCTCCTCATCTGGTCCTACAAACCTTTAGGTACTTGTCTGGCCTGTGAGATGCAGGGAGGGGGCAAGCGCATCATTGAGAGTGGACGTCGGGGGGACAAAATAATACGATTTGAAGCAGCACATTTTGAAATTATTTTTACTTTTTAAGTACATTTTTATTGACTTCAGAGGAAGGAAGAGGGAGAGAAAAATAATCATCCTAGTGGGATTATGTCAATCTTAATAATTCAAT